ATTTTTTATTGACATTCTTATAAAATCATATCTATCATCATCAAAAATCAATTTATAACCTTTCTCATCATTTGTCTAACACTTAGAAGGTTTTAACCAATGATAGGAGAATAAAAGACATTATGGATGTGTTTTTTATTAATTCCATTAGTGTGGACTCCAATGACTCATTTCTCCCGAATCTTTATCGTATTTTTATCATCGAGTTCAACATAAGAGGAATAAGTTTCATCACCACGAGAGGTTGTTCAATCACTTATTATGTAATGACTATAGCCAATGTCCAAGTATAATACATCTTCGGCTTTGAACTCAACATTCATTTAAGAGTAGAATAGTTAATCATAATTTTTAAAAAAATTGGTTGTATTTTAATCTCCACTACTTTTAGATATATATATATATATATATATATATATATATATATATATATATATATATCCCAATAATTTCTTTTAAAATGAGTAAGATTTTTGTGTCTAGTGCATTTAAAATAACAATTTCTAGTTATAGCTAGACCTCATACAAATGATGCAATGAGAAGAGCTATTGTCATTGAACTTTTGAACTTCCTTTATCTCTACTTTTGTTATGACCTCTATTTTGGCTATCATATGATTTTTTTCTTTGAAATGAACCTTTTGTTTGCTCCTATTGCAATCTTGATGTCTCGTTTCTCAAATAAATTAGTTTTGGTCCGAAAATCTTATTCTAATAGTTGCTTGTTGTACATATTCACCCTTTGTTCGTGTGCCTCAAGAGAACCCATCAATTCATGACTTGGAAGTCTCAACAAATATTTTGTCCCCTCAATGATAACAAGTACATGCTCAATTTTTTATGTCAAACTTCTAAAGATTTTCTCAAAAACAATATCATCATAACTTTTTATGTAGTTGATGATTTCAATATCCCTGAAGAAAAATTTCTAAGAAGTTCATTATCTTTTATTATAAGATTATCAAATTCTCTCTATAAATTATGTAACCTTATGGAGATAGATTTTGTAAGCCTTGAAATTCATCCCTTAAAATTTCATATGCATTTTTTTTTCTTTTGAATGGAAAAGATATGGGGTAGATGAATTTGCTTACCCCTTGTTTGATTATCCTCGGTGTTGTAGCATTTTTCTTCACATTCTCCTTTTAGTCTTTCTCATTTGCTTTTGTCCAAGATGAGGTTGTCTTTTAAGGTCGTTTTTAATATTCTTCAGCCACTAAAATTCATAAATATTGTGAGATAAAGATTGTCATAATTTAAGAACTTTAATAATCTTAATGCTTATTGCAGGGGGAAAATGTGACTTCGGTGTTTGGTTTCGATGAGTGCTATTGGCAACGATAAGAAATTAGAAAAAAGAATCGCCACCAAGTATCAAGAAAATTAGAAAAACCAAAAAAAAAAAAAAAATTGGTTTGTATGGAAATTTAGGTAAGGATTTGGCTATGGGAGGAAAAATCGAGATCACTATTACCACGTCTTACCTAAGGTAGACTGGATTGTATACATATTGTATGTCTAAGTTCGGTCTTACTATGTTCTTTATCTATGCCTATTCAAGTGTGTTTATATTTGGATTGAGATGGATTAATCAAGTGATTTGAGAGTTAGATTGGTCGAAGGCCTATCTTCACACTCCAAAATAAAAAGAAAAAAATATTTGAGAAATGATGAGTACTTAACGAATGTAGCCCATAATGATAAAATTAGTGAGTCCTTAATAGCTACATCTTGTAATCAAAATGAATAAGCTCCTAACGAGTTGTAGCTCATAACACAAAATTGGCAAGATTCTAAATGCTATAACCCGTAACACAAAATTGGCAAGCCTCTAATGGTTGCGAGACCATAACACAAAATTGGTGAGCCCTTAATAGCTATAGCTTATAACATAAAATTTGCAAGCCCTAAAAGTTACGAGTTGTAACACAAAATTGTCGAGTCCCTAACGGCTATAGTTCGTAACATAAAATTGAATTATAAATATGGCATTAACTTTCGAGTTAACCCCTATGAATTCATTGCATTTTGCACACATCATATTTAATTTAGTTAAATCATATAAACGACACATCATAAAGACCACATTTTAACGAGTACTCATTATACAAGTATCTCAACATGAATGTTCCATCCGGACCAATCATATCACACAAGTAAATAGCATGCTTAATTGTGCACATCTAGATCGACACTCACTTCGAATAAATCGTTAAAATTAAATCTCATGTCTAGTCCTCTCAACTTCATCACAAAGTATTAACACCAATTTTATTTTTCCTTAAAATACCTCGGGTCCTTGATCCTGTCAAGATTTGGTACGTAATAATATATCTTAATCATAATTCAAATATCACATTTAATCCATAAACATCACATTCATTCGCAACATTCATTTATACACATTTAAAAATAAGAAATGTAAAAACAATATGAATGCAACCAAAATTTACTTAATCAATCAAAATGATCAATATTCTTCCATAGGAACGTCAAAACTGCCTTTTTAGGCCAAATGAAAAAAATTTCGTTGGTGGCAATTTAGTTTCGAAAGTTGCCAAAATCGTTTCAAATCACTCCAACAAGCTCCAAAGAGTGGGGAGAGATAGTATAACCTTTTTCAACCCTTTGATAAATACAAATAATATTGTCAATCGGAGAGAGAAGGTTAACACTAACAAGTTAAGACTCTCATTTCTCCTCCTGCCTTGCTACTCTCTTTTCTCCTCCTTCTTTGCTTACTCTATCAAACATAGATTAAGATTTTAAAAAGTATTTTGGATCAAATCCACTAACTCTTGCTCAAAATCATCACCATCCTTTTTAATTGAAATTTATACTTAAGATTTCAAGTGGTATTTCGAGTTTAATTGATGAAGGTTTCAAATTTGTATAGGTTTCTTTGGTGAAGATTTTAGGTTGAAGAAGAAGACTGTTGTGAGGGACTATTGTGGTAGTGATTTAGGATCGCTTAAAAGATGTTTTAGGTTGTTTATGAGTGGTTTGGAGGGCTAGATAGTGGTTGTTGTAGGGAGGCTATTTGGGTGCTATTGGGCGAATTATTTTAGGGGCTACTTGAGTTATTAGAGTTTTTGGCCACTACTGGAGCTAGCAATAATAGGTTGTTTTAGGGGTTGTGGAGCTAGCAGCAATATGTTGTTTTAGGTGTAACTATTGGCGAGTTAATGGATGGTTTTGGGGGTGTAGTGACCACCGACCAACGACTTATGATGTTTTGATGATGTAAGCCGACAACCATTGAGGTTGTTTTGGAGGTATAGCCAACGGCTATGAGAGCTTTAGATGGTTTATATGGAGTTTGATGCGGGTGGTTATGGAGAGTGGTTGCATTTAGATTTTTTAGGGTAAAAAAGAGAGAGAGAGAGAAAACGAGAGGCTTTATAGTGGGGTTTCTTAGAGGTTAGGGTAAAACCTAATTTAGCCTTTCCTTTCTCCTTTCTTTTTTCTCAATTTCAAACTTTATCTTTTTATTTTCTCTCAAGACACACCTCCAATTGAGATTCTTTCCAATTAAGCCTCTCATTAAATTTTGTTTGATATTAATCTTTCACATTGTTTTTAGTTGGACACAAATTCCAACATTTTCTATTTATGTCTCGCTTTTTTTCTTTTTTTTTTTACTTTTTACTTTTTTTATAATTTTTTTTAAAATTCAAAAATGAACAAGGTACGAATTTGGTTGTTAACAAAACCGTCCATCAAAAATAGAAATTTGAGTTGTATATGCCAAAGTAATAATTCTAGATGATGAAGCCATTTGAGGATGACTTTGATACCAAATTTGTTGGATACAGCTGAAGCAAGATGAGTAAAATAAAAGATTTATGACCGATAAAGCTTTTGATAGAACTATTGCTTAACGCCATGTGCTTCTTATTCTTCTTTAATACAACATAGAATAAGAGAACTCTATTAAAAATATTGACGAGATGATTTTAGACATAGAAATCTAGAGATACATTAACTTTTAAAGTCTAAAAATACAAGAAGACTTTTGGCTTGACAAAAAATAATACTTAGACACTAAAAATTACAAATTATTTTTAACAAAAAGTTGAGAAGATCAATCAATGATGCCCTCGACGAAATTCAAAAGCTTGCAATCGGCTTTGGGCTTGGAATTGTATTTGTAGAAAACTAAGTAATACGTGGATGGAACTCTTGCATAAGCCTTAGAGAGATTACATTGCAATTTAAAATAGTTTGATTAAGGATTGAATTGTTGCCGATCAAAAGATTGGAGGCAAATAACCAATTAATTTTTATCATAACAAAGGCTAATAACCAATTAATATCTATTTTATTTTATCGAACGATTGATTGCAATCTTTTAAAAATAAATCGAATACAACTCATTTTATTAACGAGTTATTTAATAATCGATTTCGGGATTTGCTATTTTTTTTTTAACATGATACAACTACGGTTGATACACAATCCCTTTATAAAAGTTTGACGGAGTTAATTATAACTTAGTCTTTATAATTTTACAAAATTAATTAATCAGCCCTTATTATTTCAAAATTATAGATTTAATCTTATATTTTTAATTTATTTATACTTTAACTTTGTTCGTCCATTTCATGTCTTTTTCTAATTATTTTAATTTTTTTATTTTAAGAAATAAAAAAAAGAAGATAAAATGAGAAGATTGACGAGAAAAAAAGGTAGTTTTTAGAATAACATGCTACTAAATTAAGTACGGACAATCCTGATCAAGGGGTTGTTTAATTATATTTAATCATATATGGATTAATTAATTTTTTTTGATAAACTATAGGGATCAAGCTATAACTAGCTCAAGTTTGCCAAGGCCAACTACCGAACATGACGACCGACGGCCCGGGGGAAATAATCTCGACCGACAGTAGCCGCATGAATTCTTGCTCTCTCCTATGTTTCTTTGGGGATTCTGTGCTTCACAGTTCACTTTCCACCGAAGCAATCACAATCGCCAGCTGTCTTTAGAACACCAAAAATTAAACAAAATCAATCATGTTCGGCTTTGGACAATCCCCACTTGGGTCCACACGAAATATGAAAGGAAGCTCTTCGGTTGTCTTTAAAAGACCCACCAGAACATGTATCACCACGTGGCATGCTTCAATTCCAGGAACCAAAGTCATCATGATTGCGGCTTCTATGCTCTAAATTATTCACTAACCAAATGTTAAAATTGTTATTGATAGTATTTCTTCTGTATTAAACCTAAGCTTTGGTTGTAGTTGAATTTTTTTTTTCCAAGATAAAATGGCAGTACGATGTGGACCTAATACTTCATATCACATAACGTGAAATAGCATACCTATTTCTTTATTTCTTTATTTTTTTAAAAAAAAAGCTTCGAGCCATATGATCCTCTATTAAATAAGTAAATCTTCGACTTTATAGTCATTATAAAAAGTTAAAAAGACTAGATTTCCTTACAAAGTAATTAATTAATTAATTTAATTTAATTATATAATAATTTATGTTTTTTTTTTTTTAGTTTTGACAAAAATGCAAATGGTAAAATAAATAGATTATTAAGCTAGATCTCAGTCAATATAAAATTTTGAGTACATAATAATTACATAGAGGTTTTGATAGCATCAATGTTTCTGCCTTGTATGGGAATGTATTAGAAAAATTAGTTTGATGAATTCATAGTAGGATCAATTAAATAAATGTCCAATTTTTTTATTTTTTATTTTTAGCATTTGCTGGTAAATTCAAGAAAATTAGCTAAGTTGAAATAATTTGATCAAAAAAATAACCTTTTTGTTTCAATTTAAATCTAATTATCTAAATATAAATAATCCGACACGATTTTAAAAGTAAAAAAAACTTCATTTCTCGATAAATACTAATCTCATAATAATTATGATGGGCTTTTCTAAATTTTACATATTTTTGATATTTTGTTCATATCTATCGAAACTCTCTCATTTTCATACCATTTTAACTTCTAAAACTTTATCTATTTGAATTTTAACTATAAAAGGTATATTAGTCCAGCTTTACGCATTTATCTTATTTGTTCTTTACTAATACTGCTCATTTTTTCTCATGCACCTCTTATTACTTATAAATTACAACACATTTAAATTAGGTTCTTTAATTAGCTTTCAAAAACTTATCGCGCAAAACTATAGATATAAAATTCCAAACTTTGTTTAAAACCTACACAATGAAAATAATTAAGGTCACAATTTTTCGGTTATATGTTAAAAAGAAAAACATGTTGCTATGCGTTAGCTTGGGTGCTCCTTAAAACAAGTCACCAAGTGACATGCTTCGAGTGAAGAAAAAATTCCTTCTGCTAATGATGCACACGCTAACTAGGGGGATTAAGGAAGCAATTTCGTTCCTTCAAATTCACGTCGTAGAAATGAATGCTTTCGAAGTTTAAAGGATTTAATTAAGAATTCAATGTATTTTTGTATTGGAATGTACGTACCTTCATTAAATATTTTTTATTCTTATTCTTAGTTTGGTAAAGAAAGTAACTTCGTTCCTTCAAAGGAGTTAATGAAAAACTCAATGTATCTATACTAATTTTTTAATTATTTTATATATATATATATTTTTATCGTTGCTATTTTATTGTTTGTAAATCTTCTTCTTCTTTGTCTTTTTTCAATCTTATTAATAATGAATTCCACGATAAAGTTGTCATATGTCTATTTAAAAGACATATCATCGTTAATTAATATACTTTAAAAAGATACTTTATAAGAAACAAAATAGAAATACAAACACTCAAAATAAAAAATAAAATAGAAATATAAACACTCAAAATGAAACTAAAAAGATACTTACTTGAAATAAAATAGAATATGATAAAAAGAAATAAAAGTATAAATACTTGATTATAAAATTTAAATAAATTTCGACACTTGATCTTTTATTATTAGGAGTGATCATTCAGTTTGGTTTTGATTTTTTTTTCGATTAATTGAATTGACTAAAATAAAAATCAAACCAAATTGAGATTCGGTTTTTCGGTTAAAAGATTGAATTTTCTCGCTCAGCTTTTTCAGTTTTTAATTAAAAATCAGTTTTTTTTTATATCTTTTCTTCTGAATTTTAAATTTTCTCTTGGACCAAGTTGAAGAGCCATTTTTTTTTTCATTTTTCAAAAAATGCTAATAGATTGAATTGAAGTTTTAGCAAAGAAAGCCATAGGAAAATGCTACGACCGGAGTTTGGGTGGTCTTCTATCTATAAAAAATTCAGATATAATAATTTGAATAGTGCTTATTTCTAACTAATTATGTACTAAAGAACTTGTAAACCAAGTAATAGTGGTCTCTTGTAAGAGGTCACAAGTTCAAGTCCTAGTAGATTAGTTCTGCTATGAGACTTGAGTGTGTGTGTTAAAAAAAACACTAATTCGATTTTTGATGAAAATTGACTTTAAAAAAAAACTATACTCGAACTAAAATAATTTTGATTTTTGTTTTTTTTAATTTTTTTGTACAACACTCGAACCAAAATTGTTAATTCAATTCGATTCGATTTTTTGATTTTAATCAAATAGCGTTCACTCCTATTCATTACTTGGTTAGGATTCTAGGGACATGGTTTTAGAAAGACTAAATGGTACAAACCCTTGCGAACTTTAGCAAAAAGATAAATAACCTCGTAAATAAATTAAAATCCTTTTTTTTTCCTCTAAACAATATGATTTTTTTGATTTTTTTTTTCATCTTAAGGTTCTTATGGAAAAATAACCAAAATAGCTTCCAAAAAATCCCATTGATTCTCATCTATTTTTTTACCACTGATAAAGAAAGCAAACCACCAAACTCCCATCATCATCGAATCTCTACATTCAAAGATCAACACATCCAAACTTAAATTCATAATCACCGAAGCCAATTGACTTCACCGCCATTACAAAATCACAAGAGCAATTCCAGAGGTAGTTGGCATTCCAGCATCAATAATCCTTCTTTCATCACAATAAACAACAATCTCTCTCCATTGTAAGTTAAGTTTTTTCTTCCATCTTTGCCAACAACAACATCACACAATAACAACATCCCTACCTCTTCTCTTTCGACCATCACATACTGCAACAAGCACGGTTGAAGCGTTTTTTTTTTTTTTTCGATTTAAAATTTTTGAAATTAGAATTTTCAGGGATAGCTTTAATTTTCAATCTAGGTTTTCTTATGAGGGTTCATGTGACCCTTTTCCCCCCTTATATGGCATACAAGCTTAAAGTTAAAAGGGAAGAAGAAAGAATAAGAGGATGATATCTTTTTTTCATTATATTTGCAGAAAAAAGAAGAATTAGAAAGTTTGTTACGAATATTTTTGTCGGCTTTTCATCAGAATCCTATAGAAATAAAAAACTAGAGAGCAAAATTAATGATTTTTTATTAATTTAAAAAGGTATTAATTTGCATTTTTTTTTTTAACAAAATATCCAGATGTATTATACAATTTAGCTTTTTAAAAGGTTTCGTAAGGCCCCGTTGCCTAACCACTGGCTAGCAATGAATATTCAAAAAGCCTATAGCTTAAAAACACGTGTTTAACCTAACAAATCATTCGTGGCTAAGCTTTGGATAATTATTGTTCACGTCTAATCAGTATCTCATTGTACAATTTTTTTTGTGTTAATTTATGGTTGGAAACTTTCAGAAAAGGGCAAAACAACAACAATAATAATAAATTTAGCTCCTAGGTGGCTTTTTCCATGATGTAATCATTAAAGTCGTCTAATGGAATATCAAATGCCAATTAATGTTATGTGAAAGCAAAGTCTTCTCTAAAGTCTAACATGAAAATTAGCAGTATGATTATGAATTTGTGGGTGCAAATCAAAGTCCACCGACACTCGATGCACATGTGGCATAAAATGACAAATCATCCAATACAATAAAATATTATATATTTCTCCACCGTATAAACATAATGATTATATATGACTTAGGACCATCAGTTATCTAAAATTAATTAATTAGCCTCTGCCACGTATAAAATAACTTATAATCCTCCACCGGTATTTGACCGTTCTCAACTCCATAGCCATCAAGTTTTGCCATTTTATTTACATCTCTTTCTTTATTCTATTTTTTTCAAAGGAGTTTAAAATAGTAAACTGGAAGATTATTTAAAATGACAAAAAGAATTAAAATTATAAATAAATTAATTAACTAATTAGTTTTTTTTTTTAAGTTGCTGCCATCCACAGCAGTATTTTTCTTCGTTTCTTTTCCTTTGTTTTGTTACTTTTGTCTATAATAATTTTAGATTTATTCTGACTACTATTAGATCTGATGTTTATTTTGTACTGTTCGTCCTATTTATTTATTTCACGAGTCCTTACGCTACATCAAATTTTTACACAAACTACTAATAAATCAGATTTTAATTTTTTTTATTTTAAAAAGGCATATCTGTTATCTTTTCACTTGTAGAATAGTTTATAATTTATATATTTTAGACGTGAATGATAGATATTTAGTTTTTTTAAAAAAATAATTAATTTTCTTTGAATGTTCTTAATGTAATATGTAATTTTGTTTAAATATTTAAATCCAGAGAATACTTATTATATATTGGTTGCCTTTAAATATAGATACATAATTTTTTTTTTCATTTTGGATTCAATGAAATTTCTATGTTTGAGGAAAAAAAAAATCATACCAATTATATTTATCAATTTTGTTTTGTTTGTTTTTGAAGCAAAGCTTTGTTTATTTGGGATTGACCAGCGCTGCGATATCTGGTGATGCTACTAATGAAACGATGTCAACCATCGTGTTCTTTTAAGTCCTCAAGCAGGACCAGAACACACATAATAATTGCTTTTCATGAGTTGTCCAGCACCATTAATGGCCGAAGGGAGAATGTGTACAAATTTAGGTGAGACCGTAAGTGTTTGGCTCTAGAGATGTTCTACAAGTGCGTGTAGGAACGACCCTTTTTTGTATGGTGACAAATTTCCCGTCCCTCCTGAAGAGAAGCATGCATGCATTTATCATAGCATCGTGTCTTGAAAACAATGGTTCCAAGTTGAGTAATTACTACATTCAAATCAAAATCGAGTTTAAAAATTGCTCAGATTTCATGAAATTCTATTTAAAGATTTTTTTTTTAATCTTAACAATAAAAATATTATCATACTTGTTTTGTTAATTGTGCCTTAAGGCTTAAGGATATCATAATACTTAAATTGTGGTTTTACAGGAAACTTTTTTCTTTTGTTGTTGGGGGTCTTTTTCGAGATCCCGACATTAACAAGATAATGTATGGCTAACCTGTAACTTTTGATAAAAAAACCCAACTTAACTCCTGCTTTTTATTTTCTTAATTTTGGTACTTCAAGATATCAGATCAAAGCAATTAATGAAAATCAAATATATATTTCTTTTGTTTTTTCTATTAGGATTGAAAGTCTAGTAGTGTCGTTTAATTGTTTTGATCCGATAGCTGGAAGGACTAAAATAAAATAAAAATTTTAAAAATAATGAATTAATTTAAAAAATTATTTTTACCAATGAGCCTAATTATATTATCTTACCTTGCGGTTGATTTATATTTCCTTCGAGAAGACAATGTCATTAAATCCCACCTTAATCAGAGAGACGTGAATATGTGATGCAATGAAGACTCCTAGACATGACAAGTAATTCCAATGCGGTGGTTAGGTTGTTGAAGAGGCCTTTCGCCTTTTTCTTAGTTTTTTTGCTCCAAATTATATGGTCTGTATCAAGTTTCTTTTTTTTTTCTTTCTTTATTAAAATTTTCTGAATATATATAAGAGAAATGCATTTTTAAAATTACCTAAACAAATTAGTCTCGATTAATATATAAACTCATTCAAAAGTATTTGGTCATAGGACACCCTTACTATTAAAAAAAAAAAACTTAATGATAAATAATTTATTAAAAAACGAAAAAAAATAGGGAGTAAAGATAAAATAAGGACAAATCTCATTGAAACGTAGACCCATATTTAAAATCTCAAGCAAATAGAACCCTTGAAAATAATACCTCAGACAATTAATATTTGGCACATAGTTCATTTGATAGTTTTATCTTATTTGGCAGTTTTTATTTTTTCAAAATTTTTGAAATTGAAATAGGCCTTTTTTTTAAATTAAAAAAAAGCTAACAACCATCATCACAATTTTTTTAAAACTTTTTATTTTTTACGTTTTTGAAAAAAAAAATCTGAAAACAGAAAACAAAAATACTAAACTATGCTTAAACTTACTAACCTGTGGATCAAGGATTACTCTTGAAACTTGAAAGCCATCACGTTACCGAACGTGCTGAGAAGTATTGATGCTGATGAACAGTAAAAGTCAAAATAATCCGTACATGAAAAAGTTGAAAAAAAAAAAAAGAAAGAAAGAAAGAAAAGCAGTCCCTCAAGGAGAGTAAATAATAAATTAGTCCTTTTAGTTTACAGAAAGAAATTACTTAGTTTTATTTGTTTTAAAATTAATTATTTAATATTTTTAACAATATGTTGATCATGTTTAAGTTAATAATATTTTCATTTCATAAAATATCTTTTTTCTAGTTAATTTTTTATATTTTCAATTTTAGTTTTATTTATTTAAAAAAATTTAAGAAATAATGTTTTTTTAAAAATAATTACAACTAGATTTAAAAACACAAAAACTAATTATTTAGTTTATAAAGTAAAAAAATAACTAATTTGTTTCTCAAATTTGAAGAGTAGTTATAATTTACTCATCTCAAGTTTCAAGAACCATGACATTAGCTGTATTGATTTTCTCATTATATATATATATATATAAAAGGTAAATCATATTTTCATGTATATTGATTTATCGATATTCTATTTTTATGTTCATAGTTTAAAATTTGTAATATATTTTTATAATTCTTCGAAAAATTAAAATTTAACTTTCATTTTTTTGTCCTCGTTTTTTTCCTTAAAACATTTAATACATATAATAAATTCTGATTAAAAAACTTAAAAAATTAAAGAAATATTTAAATACAAATTATTCAATATCCAACATTATAATTATTAAATGCATATGGATTCTAGACATGATTGAAAAATTGGATCATCTATTTGACTAATGAGTTAAAAAACCAGGAGGACCTAACTTTTAATCTATATAAATATTTAGTTTTGTGTAACAAGAGTGTTTGTAATTTACTAATAAATACACACGAATTTTTTATTTTCTCTCAAAATAATAAAAGTTATTAATATTTTCTTGAAATCTTATCATTTACTCTCGGCCTTGCAATCTTCTCATTTGATGGAATCTATTTTTCTTGAAAATTGGATTAGACCGGGTTTTTGGAATCAACAAAACTCGATTGGATCTGTTGCGTTTGGACGAGTTAACATTCAATTAATAACCGGACCCACCAGGACCCGGGTCACGGGATTTCCGGTAAAATTGGAACTTCTTGTAAACAAAAAAGGTACAATTGAAAAAAATTTAAACTATAAATATAAAAGTGAAACATCAATTAATCTATAAGGATGAAAATGAAGTTTACCAAATAAATAAGGAAACAAAGATTGGCTATGAATTAGGATCTGCTCACGCGGCGTAGATCCTGTCTTTGCTACTACACTCTTCGTATCCACTGTACTGCTACGCGTTTTCGTTTTCCTTTCCTCTTCTCACACTTTTTCCAAAACTAGATTTTTTTTTAATTAAAAAAAAAACTCATCTTCCTCTTCAAAGTGAAAAATCCAAGAAACTCCTATTTTCCTTTTGAAAACCCAATAAATCTAAATAGGAAAAAAAGAAAAAAGAAAAAAAGAGAAAGAAAACCTATCTGCATCCTCGTTTTCATTTTCTGTCAAAATACGTTTTTAATCCTCCTCCATCAGAATACAGATTTAATGTTATGATTATAGGAGCGAGAGAGAAAGGATCTGTATAGCCGATCCTAACTAATTTGGGATTAATACTCTATTGTGTCTTGGTTGTATGAAGAAAACAATTTGTTAGCTGATAGATAAATAGATAGATTGAGATAGAGAGAGAGAGAGTATGGGTGGGGCAAAGAGTAGAGCCACCATCACGTTCTGGGCCCCACCAATTCTTTTTAATTTTCACTCATTAATATATTTTTTTATTCATTTGACAGTAAATTATTAAATATTGGTGCCACCGGTAGTAGTAGTATCACCACAATTTCTTGATCTATCTGTCAGTCCCCACTCCCACCCCTTTCTCTTTCTTTGTTTGCCACAGATTGAAACCAGCTAAGGTACAGAGGAGAGAGCGACTTGGCTTGTCAAGCAATCAAAAACACGGAAAAAAGAAAAACCCTAATAAATAAGCTGCCGGGCCTTCCTCCTCTTCTTCTCTTCCTTATTCTTTTGTTTAGGAGACAGTACAAAAACAGTGGGTGGGTTTTTCTTGGGGGAAGTGGTGGGAGATGAATGAGTTGACTCAGTTTTGAGTTGGGGTTTTGGTCTTGTTTTTAGAAGAAAATGAACACCGGGGGTCGACTCATTGCTGGTTCTCACAACCGGAACGAGTTTGTCCTCATAAATGCTGATGAAAATGCAAGAGTAAGTAGCCCATTTGCTCACTTTGCTGATTTTCTGATCTGGGATGCCTTTGTTTTTTTTTTTTTTTACTCATATTTTCCTTTTTTAAAACCTGGGTTAAGCATGAATTTTGGGATTTGCTAGAATTAGTCAATGCATTTCAAGTTTCACTTTTTTCTTTTAGTTGATATAAAAGGATGATAATTTGGTACTCGGAGACTTAGATTTTGATTTTGATGTAAATGCTGGAGTCAGTCTCCAATGTTTTTGGAAATTGGCAAGGAAATGAATGTTGCAGTTCAGATTTGTGAACAATTAACATATGTTCAGTCCTTGGTTCTTCCAGATCCATATGCATTACGTTGATCTGAAGTTCTTGAAATCAGAGAGAAGAAGCTGACATGGGTTATTCCACAATTTAGTTGATGCAGTATGGGAACAAAAAAGTTTACTTGTTTGTTTGCAATTTAGTATTTGGATAGCTTTTTGTTGTTATTATTAGTATCGAAAGGTATTTTTTTTTTTTAGGATTTATATTTCGTATTTTGTTAAGATTACTAGGTTTCTTGGTGTTTATATAAACAACATACTATTCATATAGCTTAAAAAACAGTTAAATTCAAATTCTTGGTGAACTGTTGAAATTTGGGCATGCAAGAAAGGAGATGGTACATTAGCACATCAATGAATAGTGATGATATATCAAGAAGGGTTACTAAATTTGAGCTAACTTAAATCCTAATCTTCCATGCATTTCTTGTATTTGTTGAAGTTGTCATGTTTCATGATCAGGTGTTGAGATAACTCATTTTATGGTATTTGGGCTTGTACAGATTAAGTCAGTGCAAGAATTGAGTGGGCAAGTGTGTCAGATATGTGGGGATGAGATTGAGATTACAGTGGATGGAGAGCCATTTGTTGCCTGCAATGAATGTGCTTTCCCTGTGTGTCGACCCTGCTATGAATATGAAAGAAGAGAGGGAAATCAAGCTTGCCCTCAATGCAAGACCAGATACAAGCGCATCAAAGGTTAGGGTTTTCCTGAACCTTTTTTTTCTGTGTCTGTGCTCTCATTTAGATTCGATGCATCATTCTGAGTGTCCATAACTGCTAACTGTATTGCAGGTAGTCCCAGGGTTGAGGGTGATGAGGAAGAAGATGATATTGATGATTTGGAACATGAGTTTGATTATGGAAACTTTGATGGTTTAAGCCCAGAACAAGTCGCAGAGGCAATGCTCTCTTCACGCATGAGCACTGGCCGTGCTTCTCGCTCTAATATATCTGGAATTCCCACACACGGGGAGCTTGATTCCACTCCCCTTAGCTCTAAAATTCCTCTTTTAACTTATGGCGAGGAGGTAATTCAGTTTGCCAATGATATGTGGATGTATATGAATACCAACACAAGTGGTTTAATAATGCATTGCATTTATTTTCCTTTTCTTTTGTCTTAGGATGCTGAGATTTCTTCTGAACGACACGCACTTATCGTACCACCAAGTCATGGAAATAGAATTCATCCAATTTCTTTTCCCGATCCATCTATACCTTGTAAGTCAATGGCCATTCTCTACTTTCAGTTCCTTCTGTTGATTGTTCAATTTATCCAGCTATTTGTTAACTTAATGCTCCTGATGTAGTAGCTCAACCGAGACCAATGGTTCCAAAGAAGGACATTGCGGTGTATGGGTATGGGAGTGTGGCATGGAAGGACAGAATGGAGGATTGGAGGAAAAGGCAGAATGACAAACTTCAGGTTGTTAAGCATGAAGGAGGAAATGATGGCAGAAACTTTGAAGGGGATGAACTGGATGATCCTGATTTGCCCATGTGAGTGAATCCTGCAAACTTTTCCTTGTACCATTCTTACATTATATATACTTGAATTAGCAACTGCAGATGTTCGGTGAGATAACATGCAGTAACAAAGTTTTAGAAAATCTTAACGATTTCTAATGGTCACTGGAGACAAATTGCTATTTATCTGAAATGCCTTGTCGGATATCATACTCTGTAATGTACACTACCTTGGTAAATCGTCACTTTGGAAAGCACTACATTACATGAGATGCTTCACAACAATATTGCTTATACTACACATCTAGGCTCTGGCTAATACCAGGGGAGAAGGAGAACTCATCCATTGAAATCTAAACTTCTTCATTACAAAATAGAAAACAAGTGAAATGGGAAGGTTGTGATCTTGTATTGACAATTATGTGTGTATGCCCATACCTGTTTTCTTGCTAGCTGAAGTCCTTTCCTAGAGCATGATAATTGAGAATATTAAGCAGAACCTGGGTGGGGTTCGGTTGGGGCTAGATTCTGTCAATGATTGTCAACAACTCCAACAGCACTAATACTTGGATGCCTATAATCTAACCATGTGAGGATCTGAGCATCAGCAGGTGCCTTGTGGAAAACCTAAATTAAACACTGCTTCGTACAGGCCTTGAGACAATGGTGGTTCGGATAATTGCTTGTGACCTTGAGTGCGTATCTTCTTCGGTTTTGGAGTAAAGCCGAGGCAGGAATGAAAATGCTTGGTTTCATGTTAGGGTCAACTTTAATCCACTCTCTTGAATGCTGACATTTCGTACTTAAACAACCTAACATATTCTTTGTCTTGAACCCAACCTTTCAGAGAGGGATTTCTCTTTTGAATGTTATGTTTCCTTTGTGATACTCTTGGTTGAACTCAGTAATCTGTTAATTGACACGGTTGTAGAATCTAGACAAAATTATGTGAATTTTATTTCGAAATGTCTACTGTATTGATATTTTTTTTCCTCTATTTATGTTGTTTGTTGGTTTATTCATTCCTTTATTTGGGTTGTTTACAAGCTTTCTTGATGTACTTTGTCAGGATGGATGAGGCCAGGCAGCCACTTTCAAGGAAGTTACCCATTCCCTCAAGCAAGATAAGCCCATACAGAATGATAATCATTCTGCGCCTTGTAGTTCTTGGCCTCTTTTTTCACTATAGAATTCTCCACCCAGTCAAAGATGCATATGGTCTGTGGCTGACATCAGTAATATGTGAAATATGGTTTGCAGTATCATGGATTCTAGACCAGTTTCCAAAATGGTACCCTATCGGACGGGAAACATACCTTGATCGGCTGTCACTGAGGTATGTGGAGCTTACCCATTTAGTTCCATGTGTAATCATTTCTTGAAATCATTGGGCTTCATTTCATTCTATCTCCTCTGCATTTACTGTCTTCTTCTTTGTTCTGTGTGTGGAGTAGCTTATCATTTTGTGCTATTTTCAGGTATGAAAAAGAAGGGAAACTATCTGAGCTAGCCAGTGTAGACGTTTTCGTAAGTACAGTTGACCCTATGAAAGAACCTCCGCTGATCACTGCAAACACTGTCCTCTCTATTCTTGCTGTTGATTATCCTGTGGATAAAGTTGCATGCTATGTGTCAGACGATGGTGCTGCCATGCTTACATTCGAAGCTCTCTCTGAGACTTCTGAATTTGCTAGGAAATGGGTTCCATTCTGTAAAAAATACAATATTGAGCCCCGAGCCCCTGAGTGGTATTTTTCTCAGAAAATTGACTATTTGAAAAATAAAGTTCATCCAGCATTTGTCAGGGAAAGGCGTGCCATGAAGGTTAGTGACTTCTTATCATTCAGATTCATGTTGGTCTAAGTTTTGCTGGAGTAGAATTCCAAATTTGATTTATATTATCATAACTGATGTAAGATCTAGTGCAGTGACATACGATGGTTATCTGCAGTATTAGCTTGTGATTATATTTGGTTGTATTTTTGTACAGAGAGAATATGAAGAATTTAAAGTGAGGATAAATGGGTTGGTCGCAACAGCGCAAAAGGTTCCGGAAGATGGTTGGACAATGCAAGATGGAACTCCATGGCCTGGAAACAATGTACGAGACCATCCTGGCATGATTCAGGTAAGATTGCAATTCTTTCTAAAAAGCATTGATTCTAATCTCTTGATTCATCTATTGCAAAAGTAATGTATGTTTAGGAAAAGTAAAAATTAGCCATTTGTCCTCGATAAGCGTACAATATATATATATATATATATATATATATATATATATATATAATTTGATGTTTATTTTTTGTTGTTCCTTTTCTATGTTTCTGTCAAAACATAATATCTAACAACATGATGTTCCCATTTTCTACTATTTTGTTATTTGTCGATTGCATATGCAAAAGCAAAACTTGTAATGCATTAAGGTACTACTCTTACCAGTTACCTGTCATGTTCCCTGAAATCCTGTCATCCAAATGGGTCTGACATGCCATGTTGATTTGACAAATTCTCCAGTTCTTACCTTCAGACTGTTGTCAAGAGACGAGTCAGTCTAACAGTTACTAGAGTCCCTCACTAATTATGGGGTTTTAAGCCACTAAAATAGAGGATTAAATTCTAGTGATGTACTCGTGAACTATGTAAAGAAAATATTCTTTTCTTTGCAGGTGTTCCTTGGTCAAAGTGGTGTTCGTGACGTGGAAGGAAATGAGTTACCTCGTCTGGTTTATGTTTCTCGTGAGAAGAGACCAGGATTTGAACATCATAAAAAGGCTGGGGCCATGAATTCACTGGTAAGCGTTGGATGTTGGACGACTTGTATATTTATAACGTCTATAGATGACATTTTGTTTAGTTCTGTTATATGCCTTATCTAACAATTAACTTGCAACCAAGGACTAATAAGCTTGTCTATTTTTCTATGGTTGTGATAGATGCGGGTCTCTGCAGTTCTGTCCAATGCCCCTTATCTTCTGAATGTTGATTGTGACCATTATATTAACAATAGCAAAGCACTCAGAGAAGCCATGTGTTTCTTGATGGATCAAACATCAGGAAAAAAAGTTTGTTATGTGCAGTTTCCTCAACGATTTGATGGCATTGATCGTCATGATAGATACTCAAATCGGAATGTTGTATTCTTTGATGTATGTGTATCTTGCTTTCCTGCTTTTCTTTCTCGTTGTCATTTTATTTACTATGATGGAAAAGCTAATTTCCTAATTGAAACAGATCAATATGAAAGGATTAGATGGTTTACAAGGGCCAATATATGTTGGAACTGGGTGTGTTTTCCGGAGGCAAGCGCTTTATGGTTATGATGCACCTGTCAAGAAGAAGCCCCCTGGCAAGACCTGCAACTGTTGGCCAAAATGGTGCTGTCTATGCTGTGGGTCCAGAAAAAACAAGAAATCAAAGCCAAAGAAGGAGAAGAAGAAGTCAAAGAACAGGGAAGCATCAAAGCAGATACATGCTCTTGAAAACATTGAAGAAGGAATCGAAGGTTTTACTAAGCTATTGCACTTATTGTATATTATTCATTTGTGTTTAATTTTAGAAAATCTCTTAGCCAGGGGCTGATATTGCAGAATCAACTTCTGAAAAATCTTCTGAAACATCGCAAATGAAGCTGGAAAAGAAGTTTGGGCAATCCCCAGTGTTTGTAGCTGCGACTCTTCTGGAGAATGGGGGAGTTCCTCGAGATACAAGTCCTGCATCACTGTTGAGAGAAGCCATTCAAGTTATCAGCTGTGGTTATGAAGATAAAACAGAATGGGGAAAGGAAGTAAGTGAAAGAAAGAGAGTTAAACTGTTAGAGTCTACCATAAATAAGTTTTACCTTTATCACCTACATATCATCTAAAATTTTTGTACCGAACCAGGTTGGCTGGATATATGGCTCTGTAACAGAAGATATCCTGACAGGATTCAAGATGCACTGCCATGGTTGGCGATCTGTGTACTGCATTCCTAAGCGGCCTGCATTTAAGGGGTCGGCTCCTATTAACCTCTCAGATCGTCTGCACCAGGTTCTTCGGTGGGCTCTTGGTTCAGTCGAGATTTTCTTTAGTAGACACTGTCCAATTTGGTATGGTTATGGGGGTGGATTGAAGTGGTTGGAACGATTTTCCTACATAAACTCAGTTGTGTATCCTTGGACATCCATTCCCTTGCTCGTTTACTGTACGCTACCAGCTATATGCCTTCTTACTGGCAAATTCATTGTTCCTGAGGTAACACCCCACTTCGAGTTATTGTCATGTTCACTTTAAAAATTGAACCATAGTTAATTCTTTATAGCAGGTAGTTATTTTTTATAAAATCTTCTCATCTCATTGTTGATTGATTATTGGATGTGCAAGTGATGTGAGGAAAAAAAGCTGTTTTTCAACCCGAGCAATGTGTTCTCAAATAACATAACTGAAACTATGTTTCTGTTTTGATCTGTTGTGGCTCTATTATGTTTACCAGTCATCCATTTGTCTACAGGACTTAATTCTGTTCAAGTAGTTGATTGGCGGTGGTTCATCAGGTTATGTTGCATGGGATTTAAAAGAATTAGTGTTGTTTGAAAAGTTTGCTTTTCATGCAGTTTTATTTGTATAGCGTGGAAAAAAAACAAAACAATTTCTTTGCGTATTTGATCGTACTGCTACTAATCATCTAGGCTTTGATCTAACTAGGGTCTTTTACGTTGTACAGATCAGTAATTATGCCAGTATTGTGTTCATGGCCCTCTTCATATCTATAGCTGCAACTGGTATCCTTGAGATGCAGTGGGGTGGTGTTGGAATAGATGACTGGTGGAGAAACGAGCAATTTTGGGTGATTGGAGGTGTCTCATCACACCTGTTTGCTCTCTTCCAGGGTTTGCTCAAGGTTTTGGCTGGTGTCAACACAAACTTCACTGTGACATCAAAAGGAGCAGATGATGGAGAATTCTCAGAGCTTTACCTATTCAAGTGGACGTCACTGTTGATCCCTCCTATGACTTTGTTGATCATGAACATAGTTGGTGTTGTGGTTGGGGTCTCAGACGCCATCAATAATGGATATGATTCTTGGGGTCCATTGTTTGGGAGGCTATTTTTTGCCTTATGGGTCATCATCCACCTCTACCCATTCCTCAAAGGGCTTCTTGGGAAACAAGATCGCATGCCCACCATCATTTTGGTATGGTCAATTCTGCTGTCTTCAATCCTTACTCTCATGTGGGTTCGAATAAACCCATTTGTGTCGAAAGATGGTCCTGTCTTGGAAGTGTGTGGATTGAATTGTGATTAGGTATAGTTGGTCTTATATGAAATTGATTCTGGAGTTAAAAGAGGCCTGAAGGCATTCCACAGAATGGGCGGAACATACATTGTCCAATGGGAACCTGTCATGGCCAAGATAAAGAGAAATTTTTGAGTGAAGATGTAATTTGGTGGTGTAGATACTTTCGGGTTCGGGGATGACATTTTTTTTCTTACAGGGTTTTCATTAATTCTTTTATTAAATTCTAGTGGGTTCTAGAGGGTTTTATTCTTCATCAGTTTCTGTATTTTTAAGGGCATTGAATCATAAATTATCCCCGTCAATGTGGGGGATTCATATGTGTCTTAAACCACTTCTTATTAACATCCTGTTGTTTTAATGTCCTTCTATCTGAACTTGAGCATTTACGTATCTAATGTTGATTGCAAATATTGTGGCATTTTGTGGCTAAACATTCTCCTCGAAAACATTTAAGGGTCATGCGTCGTTTGTTCCTTTGTCATAATGTTTGTCTACAAGATTGCAAGAACTTCTTTGGATAGAGAATGGGACTAGGAATATGTGAGAATGGATTTCTTGAAGCGCTATGGCTAGCGCTTGGGAATGGCAAGCTGGCTTCATGACTAGCAGGAGAGCACATGATTATACGAGCATCTTTGTTTCAGCTGCTTGGATCAATATTCAAAACTAAGAAACTGTGCATGAACACCAAAGAAGAATGAATTTTCAACACAATCAATGGCGAAAACACGGATGTTCATATAAGCAAATCCTCATACTAGCCATTCCATTGTAAGTTTTTTTGAGATGTGAGATACACATGGCACGATACAGAAAGAACAGTATCGAAATTTTTATGTTGAATTAAGTTAAAATAATTAATTATTATGTTGATGTGTGTGTGTCTATATATATATATTAAATAATAGGTTTTTTTTTTTTTTGGTAAAAGAAGTCAGGTATTCAACATAGTTTTTTTTTTTTTTAATAATAATTAATTATTTGTACTTATTTCTAATTTTTTAAAAATGATTTTTTTTTCATAAAAATTACGAGGTTGACATGTGTGTCATATGATTAGTCAAATATTAGTCAACTAATATAATGTAATCATAGTCATGGTAACGGTTCTCGAACTCGTCGGTTTTGGTTTAGGAACCGCCGGTTAAGGTTTCACCAAAAGGTGAAACCTTAACCAAACCTTCTATGGATGGTTTCGGTTTTGGTTTGAAACCATAAAACCGACGGTTCCAAACCGTTTGAAACCGACGGTTCAACGGTTTTTTTATTAAATGAAAAAATAAAAAAAATCGAACATTTTTTTCTCAACAATAACATTGAAACGAAAAAACTTTTTTTTTTGCATAATGTATAAATATTATAATATTTTTTACATTATAATGTATTTCACACAATAAATCAAAAGAAAAAAAAAGAAATAAATAAAGAAGGGCTTGAACTTAATTTTTGTAAACACTACAAAAATTAAGCTTCCTATGTATCCTCTTGGGGTTTAGAGGAATCAAAGCTTACATAGTTCTCTTTTACATTTTAAATTACCACTTTACAACTTACATTTATGTTCTATATAGTTGTGCTTAGTTACTTTCTTGACCGGAAGTTCCGGCTCGAAGTTTCGTTGTTGTGCCGTCGGGTATTAGATCCATACTTTCTTCATTGAAATCATATTGTTTTTGTTCTTGTGTTCTCTTGTCGGCTCTTATCCAATCATCCATGCATATCTTGTGTTCTCTTGTCGGCTCTTATCCAATCATCCATGCATACTTGGGCTTCAAATGACTCGGGAGCCAATTGTGATCGCCTATCATCCAAAATATTACCTCCGAAGCTAAATGCTTTTTCAACGGTACGTTGTTGAAGTTGGCACAACAAGTATTTGTCTAGCTATTATGGACGGGAATGGAAAGGTGCCCGCATGTCTTTTCCACCAATCAATTACTTCAAAATCTACATCCGCATTGTTATCACCAAACTCAAACACGGTTGTTAGATAAATATCAAGCTCGGAAGTGGAGCTCGATGATCCTCTTAGCCTTTTTGTTCTTTCCATGGCTATAAGATAACCGACTCTAACACGTTGGCTACTTGATGATGATTGTGGCACAGGTGGTAAAGAGGAACTAGCATGTTGATCACCCACGATTGAAGACATTTTAATAAATAAATCTCTAACTCTGTTTTATAATAGAAGCAGTTTCTATTTCTACATTTTTATCAAATAATTACAAATACTCATAGTAAGTATTCAAAACAGCAGAAAGACCTTCCATTTTAAATCTAGGATCAAAAACTAAAGCAACAAGATAAATAGGTGAAATTGTTTCATAATAACTCGAACCATTTTTGTTTTATTATTTGAACAACAACATGTAAAGTTGGCATATCTTGTTCTACATAATTAAAAGCTTCAACAATATTAATTGCTTCAATCATAAATAAATGTGAAGTTGGTTGATAAACAACACTAAAATTGTATGTTGCATTGTTAAAAGTTCCAAAAGTGGTTCGCAAATATTAAAATCATTTTGATAAATAAAAACAAAATCAATATTTTCTGAAAAAAATGAGCATAATAAATCTCGATATTCAAATGACTCGCCTAAGTAAGTCATAAGTTGAATTCCAACGAGTTGGAACATCTTTTGAAAATCGTCTTGGTTTTTTGTTTCTTTCTTTGTAAAACTTTCCCCATGATTTCATCTTTTGAGGATGCGTCCATAAATATTTAGCAAGAGCTTTAATTGGCCTAACAATATCTTTAAGATATTCCAAATCAGATTGCACACATAAATTTAAAACATGACATACGCATCTAATATGGAAAAACTTACCTCCAAGATGGGGTTAACAAAGTTCTCTTAAAGACTCTATTGAAGCATCATTAGAACTAGCATTATCAAAAGAAATTGAAAATATTCTTAAAGGTAAAACATATTAATCTAAAATCCTTTTTAGTATTTTATATATATTTTGAGTGGTAATTTATCATCAAAAACTCTATATGCAAGAAGACGTTTTTGCATGTGCCATTCATTATCAATCCAATGACAAGTTACACCCATAAAAGAGTGAGTTTGCCATTGATAAGACCATATATCGGAACATATAGAAATATGACCATTCAAATTTATAAATAATACGAGTTAATTCTCTTTTTTTAACTCTATATAATTTGATCACTGTTTTTTTTTAAAGAATGTCTTTCAACTTGTTTGAAAGCAGGATTCAAAACGTTAGAACAATAATCACTAAACCCATTTTTTGACCAAAACTAAAATATAAATGATCAACACATATCATTTTAGCCATTTCTTCTTTATTTTTTTTATTAGTATATTGAAATAAAAAAGAAGATTGAGAAGCAAACCCGGATATTTGTGTCCGATGTCTTTCATTACCAAGTACGGATGGATGCTTCTTCTCCAAGTGGGTTTTGAATGTTCCATAACCACCTCCTTGTTTGAATGTGTATTACTTGTTACGGTAGTTGTAAATTACGGTAAAAACGCCTTTTAACGGAACTTTTGAGAAATGAATTTTGAAGATGTCGAATGATCTAGGTGTAAAATTTGATTGTTGTTGTTGCTCTTCTCGCTCGATTTTGATTGGCGGTATTACTTTGTTGTGATGACATATGTGAACTTGAACTTGCCATTTTTTGTAGTATAAAACAATAGAAATGTAAAAATTTAAGAAGTATTTGGAGTATAAAATATATTATAGGATAGTATTGAGAATTCTAGACTTAAGAGTTTAAGAGATTGAGTCGTGAGAAGAATGAAAAAAATTGAGAGTGAGAGGGTATTTATAGAAAAGAAAAGAAAAGAAAAAAATTAGAAAACGGTCACAAATGTTTGTCACCGTTTTATAAACGGTCACTTTTTTGTGACCATTGAGTTGTGAAAATGTGACCGTTTGTCACATACTTAATATATATATATATTAAGTCCAAAAATTAAAAATTATTAGGCTTAATTTTTTTTTCCGATCCAATAGCTACTCGTCCATCCCATATAAAATTGGTTTTTTTATTAAAATTTTTTGTTTTTTTTCGACCTAATCCAAATTTATTAGGAAAAATATGAAATCGTCGGTTCTACGGTTAGTCATCGATTTAAAATCGCTAGTTTTGGTTTCATGATACCTTAAACCATAACCAACCCGTAGGTACCCGGTTACGGTCCGGTTTGATCAAGGTTACGGTTTTAGCGATTTCGATTCGGTTTTTTAACGGTTTGATTTTGGTTCGATTTCGATTAGGAAAAATATGAACCATTACCATGTGTATGTAATCAATCTAACGGAAGAAGTTAGCAAAATTAGATGAAGAGACTAGTTTGTTTCAACTTTAAGTAATACGGAATTCGATTTGCACCATAAATGAATAGAGAGGTTAAAATGATCAAAATTGAATAATACACAATGATTTTCACCCTATTATAATATGCAATCAATTGAAATATAAAAACATAATATCTTATAAACCAATGAAATAATCCTCATACTATCTGTATTCACTGTGTAAGTATAAATTAATTTTGAAATCTAAAAATAAATTATGAAGCCAATTATTGTTATGATTCGAGACGATCAATGCCAATTCTAATTTTTGCTTTCAAATTTAATTATTTCTACTCAATTCCATTATAACTCAGTATTTTATGATAAAATAAGTTAATTTTAAATCTAAAGATCAGACAATATTAAGTGTCTTGTACAGTGTATCTAATTAAATAACTGTCAAATAAAAGCATGCCCATGTAATTAATTAACATCACAGTATTTGATACAAATATTATAAATAATATATTAAAATATTGAATTAGACCTGTATCTCATTAAATATTGAAGCCCCAAGATTGACAGGTTCTTTTTTTTTTAATTGGGGTGTTTAAAAGTTATAGCCAAAAACTTTTAAAAATTTATTGGGGTATTCACAACTAACACGACTACACCAGGAAAAAGGAAATTGTCTTTCGGACACAGCTTTGTTGAGATCACGGTAA